GCGTGGAGGCCAGGATATCAGAGTAGGCGTCACTGGGTAAGGGGGGAGGGCGGGCCCGGAAAAGGGAGCAACATCGCACCTGACGAGAGGGATGTCGTTATAGCTGGCCTTCACCCGGATGCCGGTATCCAGAAGGGTGATTTCCCGAGCGTGATCAGGCGACCAGACGGGGTACGGCTGGAGACGCGACGGGAACCGGCCCAGGCCATTGGGGAGCTGCCAGAAAAACTGACCCTGTGGGGTGAAATCGAATCAATAAAAGGAGGCTCGACAACCATGGGACGGGGAGGAGCCCGGTGGTTGGGGAAGGAAGACGGGAGGAGAGGCCACCAGAAGACGCACATCCTGATTGTTGCCGTTGACCTGGATCGGCTCCTGCCAGAAGTCCACCGACGACGTGCCATTCCAGAAGACCACATTGGCAATCTGGAAAACCAGGCACAAACATTGTGTCCGAGGGGAATATCCAGGAGAGGCATCCCGAGAAGGAGCGAGCGAGCGCGAAGAGAGGAAGGCACAGACAAGGAGGAGGGAGAGGGCAAAGAAGATGTAAGCATGAGCATATGTGAGCAGACCCGAGGGGTGTCTTCATTGAGAAGGGCAGTGCGGACCTGATGACGATCAGACAGGCCCGTTTCAATGCGGGTCACTCCCTTGTAGAAAGAAGCCACCGAGATTGAGGTGTCATTCTGGCGGACATTGGTTTGAGTGTCGCCCGGCTGGAGGTACTCAAGCAGGGGGTCGGAAAAGTCGAACACCCACTGGTGGACGCTCCTCTGTGAGAAGAGCCCACCGCCCTGCCGGAGGCCGGTCACGCTGGTGTAAAGACGCGTGTTGTAGGTTGGCGTGATGGACATAAAGTACTTGAGGAAGGCCGTGAACTGAACACTGGTCAAACCCCAGCGCTCGAGCAATAGGTCCGGGTTCGACTCGAAGGCCTTCGCCATCTCCAGCAGATTGAGCGGATCCTGCAGGGAGAGAGGAGATCGGCGAAGGCAGGATTAAACACCACACCGGGTCAGAGGACAGATTCAAGGAACGCGAGGCACACTCCGAGGGTGAGGTGTCTGAAGACACGCAAGAACGCACGGTGACAATCCCATGCGGGCCATAGAGCATCAGCTCCATGGTCTTGAGGTTGAAGCGGAGCACGGCCGCGGGGGCCGAATTGTCGATGGAGAAGGCTCCGTACTCGGCCTTGTCAGGGAATTCATCATACATGCCACTTGGGGGGGGGGGAGGGAGAAAGAGAAAGTCAGGGAAGGAGGGGGTCAGAGAAATGACAAGGTGGTGGCACACGATCAATCATGCCAGCGATGAGGAAACATCAGGAGCCCGTACGTGACCGAGTCGCCAAAGAGACCGATGGCATTGGGACTCTTCGAGTAGTAGCCCCACTGGAGGAGGGCGGCGTGGAAGGGAGTGTGACAGTTCAGATCGATCACACGACAGCGGTCCATCACCTCGGAGTAGCCGCGGGTGTTGATCTGATCGGCCACATAAGTCCTCTCAATGTCCTCGACCATCCTGTTGATGGTCGGGCCCGCTGGACACCGCCAGCGAAGGGAATGATGAGAGGAGGCTCATTAGTACGATGCCCATGGAAATACAAAGGCGAAGAAGGGGAGCACATGAGCATCGGCTGGTGTCTCGCGAGGGTACACCCGGAGAACGCACTCAAGCCCAAGAGCAGAACGGCCTCGGAGCCCGTGGTGTTAAGTGCTCCCAGGTAGCCAGCATTGATGGCAAGGAACTCATCCTCCGGCGCGCAGCCAGTGCATGACTTTTCCTGGTCCCACAGATACATGCTGGAGAAAGACAGATATGACATCGAGAGCGAGAGAGAGAGAGAGAGAGAGAGAGAGAGAGATGGAGTGTGAGTGACATGACACATAAGGCAGCTCATATTGGCGATGGACACGCACTGGGCCTCACGATAGTCGACGGAGCTCCCATTGGCTGCGAAGCTGATGTCGAACTTGGTGATGTTCACACGATATGTGTACGGCCCGTGAAGGGAAAACTCTGGGGGCGACCCGGCGAGGGTATCATCATACTATTGAGAGGCGGGGTGCTGGCGAGTTAGGTCGATGGGGCTCGACTCGGATCGCGGGGAGTGAACTGCGCGCGCACGTTGGTCAAGTTGTACATGTAGTAGGACTCGTAGAAGGGAACAGCGAAGTGGGGCTTCTCGCAGCCACCCCAGCTACCGTAGGCAAACTTGCATGCCCAGTCGAGGTAGCGCGTGGAATTCTGAGCCGGAGAGGGAAACACAGAGGCATGAGCGAAAGAGAGGGAGAAAAGGAGAAAGAGGCATTGAGAGAAAGCCTCCGGGGTAGTGGGCATTGGCATACATCGCCAGAGAAAGGGCTTGGCTCCATCAAGCCGCCCACGCACCTGACTCGAGACGACCAGCTCGTCCATCAGCGAGTAGGAGATCAGGAAGTTTGTCAAAACGTAGGCTAGACTGGACATCAGGGCCAGCACCAGGAACAGGGCCGACAGGCACCCGAAACACCAGACCTTCCGTGGAGTTTTGGGTGGGTCTATCCCCTCATCGTAGGCCGACCTTTCAACGGTGTAGTCCATCCTTCAAAGGGGGTTGCGAATGGAGGGATCGGGCGGAGGGCGAGGAGGAGGAGGGGAGGAGGAGGGGATAAAATGACCAACGAAATAAGGAGGATGTAGTGGGAGGGGGAGAGAGAGAGAGGGAGAGAGAGAGAGAGAGAGGAAAGAGATGTGGAGTGGTTGGATTTGCCGGCTCAGGAGGCGAAGAGAGGGACTCCGAAATATCGACCGACCCACGGGGCTACTCGCGGCCGGAGGCCAAGCCGAGATCGCACTGATCCCAGCCCAGTGGCGGAACATCGGGAGCCCGACTCGGTTGGACAGTGGGCCTGAGTCCTGGCTGGGGGAGAGACAGCCGCCAGGCAAAGTGATCCCAGGGGGGGGGGGGGGGCACATTCCCTAGGGGAGCCCAGCCCCGGAGAAACGCTGTCTGAAAATGGGCCTGGCAAGTGAGAGCCCTGCACGCGCTCTGTCCATACACTCCCTCCCTCACAGACCTCTCCTATCACGAAGCCGGAAGGAATGGGGAAAGAGAGGCAGAGCCAGGGAGAGAAGGGTAGGGAGGGGGCTGGGGATATGCTAGAGAGCCCAAGAGACGGAAGCTGGCCGGTGAGGCCACCTCCGCCATGCGTCCTCCCTGCACGGCAGCAGCGAGAGCCTTGAATTAACGCAAGGTGCTTGTTGAGGCGCGCCAGCATGCGCACGCCTCACTCCCCCCCCCCCCCCCCCCCGATGCAAGATCGGCCGCAAGCCCGGCTCTTTTAGCCACACACACCCCCTCCCCCGGCACAGGATAACCGGCAAAAAACAATACCGCGCGTGAAGCGTGAGAAATATCAGGCGCCAGGACGGAAAACAAATCTTCCCCGCCCTCCCGCGGCATTCACTAACTTGTCCCCCTGCCCTCTTCTCGGCGCTGAGCTACCCCTCATTCAGCAAAAGTGGGCACGCAGTCCGCGGCGGAGGGCGCCCAGGGGCCCTTCCGGGATATTGCCCCCGCGCGACATTTTTTTGGGCAAAAGGTGTGGCATTTAGTCCCCCCCGTCGTGCCCTGCCGGGGGGGGGGGGGGGGGATGCGTCCACTTGGATCCTAGCTCCGGGATGACCGCACACCTAGCCCTGTCAGGGACAAACACCCCTCTCCGCAGGGGACCCAGCGGGTGGGGGTGCACAGGCGGTCCCGGCAACAGCTAGGAATGGGGCGCTTGGGGCGGGGCGGATAAACACAACGGTGTCACCAAAGTGGCAGGCCAACAGGGGGGCCCCTCGACACTGCCCCCCCCCCCAGAACTCCTGGCCGGGTCACAACCAGCGGAGACCGATTGGAATGAACAGTCAGGTGTCCCGCCCCAGGAGGTTGACTCCCCTTTATCAAGCGCCGCCTGCGATCAGAGCTGGCCCCCGGCACCCGGCAGGACAAACCACCCCCAACCCAGATGACATAAAATACGTTGGCACTCGGGCGACCGCGATGCGCCGCGGTGGCGGGAGTTTTTCGCTAGACGCGGCCTTGGAGTGCCAATTTACATGCACAGTGGAAGGGGGAAATGTTGCTCGTGTGTTGTTATTTTTTCCATTGGAGCATGGCTCGGCGCGTGCCTTCCTGCCTGCCTGCACGGTGCTCTTTGCCGGCTCGCCTCTCCCGGCACTACTCTCCCTCAGTGGGTGGGCCACCCCCCAGAGGACAGGAAGAAAGAAGGGGGACTCGAGAGCAATCGAGCGGGCGAGTGAGAGAAAGAGGGAGGCATCGAAGAATGACTGCTCCCAGCGCATGGGAGAATGTACAGACATCTGGACACACACAGGCACAGACACACACAGACACACACTCCCGCAAGGACAGAGAACCTACAAGCAGCCAGACACACATGGGCGCGAGGGAGTCGAGCGAGCACACTGGTCCCCATGGACAAGAATACCTGGATCTCGACAAGGCTTACAAGAACTCCTTGACAATCTGCAAGGTCTCCGGGTCATCGAAGTACTTGCCGATGGAGGCATCCTCACTGAGACCTTTCCGGCGACGAGTCTTGATCATGAAGTCCCGGGCCAGCTGCGTGGCGGTGGCCACCTCAAGCGGCAGAACATTCTGAGTCTCATCAAGGGGATTCCCCGGGACCACACGCCAGTGATCAAACAGCTGAAGGCAGAAGGCCGCACCCTGGGTGTTGACACGCAGATCGGTTTCGAAGCCGAAGGAATCCATCACCGGGATGTGCGCCTTCAGGAGGTACTGGGTTGACCCGGGCAGAGGGAGCTCGGAGATGATATGACCACTACCAAGGGAGGGAGAGATAGGGGGGTAGAGGAGAGGAGGCATTAGGCGAAGACATTCGACGGTGCCCAGTGGTGCAACATGGGAGGGGGGATGATCCAGGGAGGATGGGCAGGAGGCAAGAGGAGGGCGAGGAGGCGGGGGGGGTAGGGGGGGGGAGGGGGACGCACCGGCGCTCACCCAGCAGACCATAGATGGCCGACCGAGCCGCGAAGGGAACAACAATCTCCACCAGGTACACTGGCTCCATCAGCCGGGGGGTGGCGGTCAAGAAGGCCGCATAGCACACCCGCCGCGAGGCCGGGATGATCTGACCAGCATTCCGGGAAATGGGGTCGTCGGCCAGGATGGCGTCCTGCAGACGGAACTTGGTGTTGCGCATGGCTGTTGGATGTACGGCCAGCCGAAGGAGGGCGTAGCACAGTGGGAGCAGAAAGAGTAGATGACATTAGGAAAGGGAGAGAGGCGGAGGAGGAGGGAAAGAAAAACAGAGAGAGAGAGAGAGAGAGAGTATGGGGGCACCGAAAGACAGGTACGCACGCTCATCGCACAGAGGGCCCTCCTTGGCACCCCACTGGAACCCCTGGACAATGTGATCCCGCGCAGACAACAGCCGATTCGCGTCCACCTCCGAGGGCAGGGTATCATTGATGAAGAGGTTGGGCCCAACATTCTCTGGCCCGAAGGCCCAAACATTGCCAGCCGCCAGGACATCCCAGTGGTACTTGTCCTGCAGGAACTTGCTCACATCGTCGGAAGACCACTTGGACGACAGGCGGCCCTCCTCGATGTCCGCCGCCAGGCCCTCATCCAGAGGCTCGGCAATGACCGTAAGCTTGTTCCTGTGTGTACGTGCGCGTGTGTGTGTGTGGCGTACCATGACGACAGGATGGTGTGGTGCGTTAGGTGATGTTGGGGAGGACAAACGGGGGAATAGAAGCACAAATGAAGCGGAAGCAAAGGGAAAAAAAAGAGGCGAAGAGGAAGACAGGCGCACTTCTTATTCAGCGACTCGGTCGTGCACCGGATGGCCGACACATTGATGACAGTCTCGTTGAAGGTGACCAGCGGGTCTGACACCTTGATCTCGATGGCTGCAAACATCTGACGCAGATCATGCATGATGCAGTCCAGGTACAGCTCCCCGGTGCCGAAGAGGGTGTGCTCGCCGGACTCCTCCACCCGAGTGAAAGACAGAGGGTATGTCTTGCTGATCTTGCGCAGACCATCCAACATCTTGGGCAGCTCGGCCGGATGCAGCGGCTCAATCGCGACCTATGATTATCAGGACATACGAGAGAGAGAGAGAGAGAGGGGGGGGGAGGAGAAGGAGCAGCGAGGAAGAGGAGGGAAGGAAGGTGTGTATGTGTGTGTGAGAGTGAGAGAGAGAGAGAGAGAGAGAGAACGTGTGAGTGAGCGAATCAGTGAGAACCCAATCGGATCGGGGAGATGCAAGGACCAATGAGCGATGAGTGGGAGGGGCACAGAAAAGGCGCACCTTCACGATCGAATGGTTGAAGTGACGCAGTGGCCGGCAGATGTGCAAGTCGTCCTCCTGCAGCGAAGCCAGGAAACGCCGCGACCCATCCACAATGGTGGCGGTCTTCGTGATGGAGGCGTCCACACCACCAAGCAGAATCCACGCGCCGGCCGAGGCCTGGCCCACCGGGATCCGATAGCGCGACTCGTAGACCCAGAGACCGGTCACCGGGGTGACCACTGCGTCCTCGGTGTAATCCGGAGAGTACTGCTCGCCCAGCACGCGGACATTCTGTCCGACACGCACCGTGCCACTGAGAACTCGTGCGAACGCATCGAAGGAAGAGGCGTCGGCATTGGGATAGAGCTAACGTCGTGCGGGTGTGTGGGTGTGGATGTGTGAGTTGTTGGGTGATGGGTAACCGGGGGGGGGGAGGGGGGGGGGGCAATAAGAGAGGAGAGACAAATAGGTGGTGGGGTCGACCGAGAGGAGAAAGGCGCACCTTGACCACCTGCATGACAAGCATGCCCGCAGGGTCACACTGCGCCATAGCCTCAGCAACCGGGGAGTCCTGGGAGCCGGTGAAGAGAACCGCCGACTTGGCTGGGCCGCCCCGCACTGGTGAGGGCACATGTCGGACCAGCATCGAGACGATCCCGGACACATCGCCCAGGAAGAGGGACATAATCAGTCGCAGAAGCGGCCCGACATCCATCCGGTAGTGCGCCGGCTTGATGGAAACACCGATCTCATTCAGTGTCTGGCGCAAAGAGGCAGTATCCTCGGCCACCACCTGGGTCACGATCTTATACAGCGGCTCGAGGATGAATTGCACAAAGGTGCGCGGCATGTCGAAGCGGGCCGGCTTCGGGGAAAAGCGCCGCGTCGCCGAGTCATAGTAGACATTGCCCCACAGACGCTTGGCGAAAGCGGCAGCATCGATGGAACCACCTGGTGTAGTAGGCAGAGGAGAGGTAGAGAGAGAGAGAGAGAGAGAGAGAGAAGCCAGTGAGTGGGCAACCATGACATAAATACACACCGAGGCACAAGCACAGACATCAAAAAGATTGGAGAAGGAGGGACGGGAGAGAGAGAGAGAGAGAGAGAGAGAGAGAGGCCACGCACCATGCAAATCCGAGTACACAGTGGCAAAGGACTCGAGGGTGAAGGAAAAGCCCAGGGTGCCACTGGAAAAGCAGACGTTGCCCAGCTCCGGAGACACACGCAGAGAGTCATCCCCGCCAGAGTAGTGCCTGTTTTTGTTGGATGATTCAGCAGTCAGGGGGGGGGGGGCGCAGAGGGGGCGCACTCAGAGGTGTCAGTGCCAGAAGTATGCATTGCTGGATGGGGTCTGGATGGGGGGGGGGGGGGAGGGACGAGGAGGGCAGGGAGGGCGGGGCCAGGAGGGGGGCTTTGGCTGGGGAGAGGGCCGGAACGCCTCACGCACGAGATGAGCTGGTTCACCTGGGTCAGGATGTGGGCAAACTTGACGTAGGCATCCTTGGGCGGGAGGCGAAGCTCGGTGATCAGTCGATCAATTTTGGAGATCATCACCGTGATGGTGATCCGCTGCTGGACCAGCTCACGAATGATCTTCTCGGTGCCCAGCATGACACCCTCCACCGCGTCGATGACCAGCAGCGCGCCGTCGCTCACCTGGATGGCGGCGGCCGTCTCGTCGTAGAAGTTCACGTGGCCCGGAGTGTCCAGGACATTGATGGCATAGGACTTGCCTCGGAGATCGGGCAGAACCAGTGACATCGGCGACGCCTTGATGGAAAGCTCGCGCGCGCGCTCAATCGGGTGCGTGTCGGTGTATCGAGTCTGGCGCATGGCGGGGATGTTTTGCAGGTCAGCACATATACCCAGTGCATGGGTGTCCGGTAGGTAAAAAAAAGGGGGACAAAGAGTCCAGATGGGGAAGGCGGCGCAGCGAGGGGAGAGGAGGGCGGATGGAGACCGGCGAACATACCGTGCTGCGCAGATCCAGATCGATGTCATGCGTCTGTGCGACCAGCATATCCACCAGAGTAGTCTTGCCGTGATGCAAATGGCCGACAACGGCCACATTGCGAATCATGTCCGGCATGGACAGCATGTCTACCAAGAAGTGCTTGTTGAAGTGCGTCTCCGGCAGGCCGGCATCATCCACCAGGCTGGAAGCGCCCGCGCGGGGGGCGGCCGTGTCCCCGGCAGCCGGCTTGACGATCGGCTCGGACAACATCTGGGTGTCCTCCTCCTGAACGACGATCTCCACACCGGGCCCATAGACTGACTGGGCCGAGGGGTAGTACTGCTTGTCTTCGTGAAGGACGATGTGCGTGCTGACAGCTGGGCCAGGTGAACGCATGGGGCAAGTGTCAGCGGGGGGGGGGGGG